TGTGGTGGGCCACCCACGTGGAGGTGCTGTTTTTGGCATGCTCCTTGGCACTGGCGGTATGTCTGGTTGTGGGGTTGGTTTGGTCCCCTTCTCCATGCCTCTGGTCCCTGGGCAGGCCCCAAGGCGCTGGTGCCATGTGCCTGGTTTTGGGAGAGGGGTCCAGTCCCCTTCTCCATGTTCCTGGTTCCTGGGCAGGCCCCGAGGTACTGGCACAGTGTGCCTGGTTGTGGAAGGAGGGTCCCGTCCCCTTCTCCACGCCTCTGGTACCTAGGTGGGCCCCGAGGTGTTGGCATTTTGTGCCTGGTGTGGGAGGAGGGCCCAGTCCCCTTCTGCATGCCTCTGGGCTGGGAGGGCCCTGAGGTGCTGGCACCGTGTCCCTGATTGTGGGACAAAGGTCCAGTCCCCTTCTCCTTGCCTCAGGTCCCTGGGTGGGCCCCGAGGTACTGGCGTGGTGTGCCTTGTTGTGGGAGGAGGGTATGGTTCCTGGCTCCATGCCTCGGGTCACTGGGAGGGACCCAAGGAACTGGCTTGGTGTGCCTGGTTGTGGGAGAGAGGTCCAGTCCCCTTCTCCAGACCTTGGTTCCCCAGGCAGGCCCTGAAGCTCTGGCGTGGTGTGCCTGGTTGTGGGAGAGAGGTCCATTCCCCTTCTCCTTGCCTCGGGTCCCTGGGCAGGCCCCAAGGGGCTGGCATGGTGTGCCTGGTTGTGGGAAGGGGGTCCAGTCCCCTTCTCCATGCCTTGGGTCCCTGGGTGGGCCCTGAAGCACTGGCTTGGTGTGCCAGGTTGTGGGAGAGAGGTCCATTCTCCGTCTCCTTGCCCCAGGTTCCTGGGTGGGCTCTGAGGTACTGGCATGTTGTGCCTGGTTGTGGGAGAGAGATCCAGTCCCCTTCTCCATGCCCTGGGTCTCTGGGTGGGTTCCGAGGTGCTGGCATGTCGTGCCTGGTTGTGGGAGGGTGGTCTGGTCCCCGACTCAATACCCCAGGTCCCTGGGTGGGCCCTGAAGTGCTGGCTTAGTATGCCTGGTTGTGGGAGAGAGGTCCATTCCCCTTCTCCTTGCCTCGGGTCCCTGGGCAGGCCCCAAGGTGCTGGTGTGGTGTGCCTGGTTGTGGGAGGGTGGTCTGGTCCCCTTCTCCATGCCCCAGGACTGTGAGCGGGCCCCTGAGGCGCTGGCTTGGTGTGCCTGGTTATGGGAGAGAGGTCCAGTCCCCTTCTTCATGCCTTGGGTCCCCAGTCGGACCCTGAGGCACTGGTGCAGTGTGCCTGGTTGTGGGAGAGAGGACTATTCCCCTTCTCCTTGCCTCGGGTCCCTGGGCAGGCCCCAAGGTGCTGGCGTGGTGTGTCTGGTTGTAGGAGGTGGGTCCAGTCCACTTCCCCATGCTTCAGGTCCCCAGGCTGGCCCCAAGGTACTAGTGCAGTTTGCCTGGAAGTGGGAGTGGGGTCTCCCAGGCAGAACCCAAGGTGCTGGAGGTGTGCCTGGCCTGGAACTAATTTTTTGTCCTTTACTTCTAACATGGGGGAACTTCCTGTGGGAACCAGTACTTGAGCTGTGTGGTTGTTTAAATTGCTGATTTGCTGCTGTTTCCCTAGGGAAGGCTCTTTGTGCAGCTCAGGGTTTAATGGTTGACATTATAGGTACTTCAGGCTCTCCAGAGACCATGTGGATCTGCGTCCTGTAGAAACTCTGATCTGGGCCTAAGTTTTTTCATCAAACTGCACCCCACGCAGTTCTGCATTCCTGACCAGTCTCCTCTGAGTGGTTCTGTGCTGATTGGGGGGAAGATCAGCTGTCCTTGCTGTGCCCCAGTGTTCCCCTGGTGGGCCTCCCCCTCCGTGCTGCAAACACCTCCCATGCACCGGTCCCTTGTGATGATTTGCCGGCCCCTGAATGGCTCCCTTTTTTCAGTTGTTCTGGCTCCTTGCTCCTGTGTGGGTCCATGGGAACCCTGTTAGTCGTCTTGCTGTCCTGGGGCCACCAAGGCCCTCTTCTCTCCTGCCTCCTCCAAGTAACTCCATCTGAAGGGCACAGCCGCGGCTTCTGCCGGCTCCTGCTCCCTGTGCTCATCAGCTCGAGCCTTAAAGCAGCCGCGGCCCGAAATGCTCAGAGCAGCCTTTTCTTTCTCTCATTGTGGCTTCTCCCCTCTTCATGAACTCCGTAGGTCTCTCCTCCTCTTCCCCTGAGCTCCAGTGGCCCCGGCTTGGCTGATGTTATATTTTTATAGTTGTAAATTTGGTTGATTTGTGGGAGAGAGTGATGCTGGGGACTGTCTATTCTGCAATCTTGATTGGATCCCCTCTAGTTTTTAATATTTCTTGAAATTAGGTAGTTTTGGATCTCGAGAAAGTTCAATTTACACTGCAGATGGATGCCGAGGCAACATAAAATTATGAGAATCCACTATAACCACCCATACAGTGGGGAAGTGAGTTGGATCACAGCAGGGCCCTCGAAGCTCTGGCTCTGGAGTCAGGAAGGCCCTTCCTAGTTACACAGCCAAGGGACTGTGGGACCAGCTTGCACAGACCTCCATTTCACTGTCTTTCAAGTGGACACACGTCTGGGAGCAGAGTCGGGAGATGTGTCCCAGGAACGGGCTTATCCCTATTCCCTCCAGAGGGAGACGGGGAATTCTGAGAGCTGCAGGCAGCCCCCTGCTGTGTCTTCTCTACAGGTTGAGTTTGCTGTCAGCCGGGTCCAGATGAATTTTCTGCACCTGCTCAGCTCTGAGGTGACGCAGCATATAACCATCCACTGCCTGAACATGACCGTGTGGCAGGAGGGCACCGGGAAGACCCCAGCCAAGCAGCCTGTGCGCTTCCGTGCCTGGAATGGACAGATCTTTGAAGCTGGGGGTCAGTTTAGGCCAGAAGTGTCCATAGATGGCTGCAAGGTAATTCTTGGAGCCCCTCAGAGGCCCCTCCTGCATGGTCAAGTGGAAAAAACTTGTTGGGAAAAACTTGTGTTTATTATAAGATTATATCTAATAATTTTATGCTATAATATGTTAGTATGATATAAATAATTTTTTATCTTTGTGTAGTAAATTTATTATAACAGTTTTATAAAATTGTTTTATTCACTCGTCTCTCTGCAAACCTTCTAAGGGGAGGTTTGGGCTGGTAAAAATTTTACAGGCTAGTAGATACTATACTTATTTGTAAGACTGCTTAAAAGAGATTATATATTTCTTCTCTTCTCTCTGTCCCCATCCTAGTCAGGCTAATTTCTTCTTTTAATATTTCTGTTCATTTTGAGATACCCCAAACAGGCTTGTTAGGGGAGGGGGAGATGGAAAGTTGTCAAAAGGCAAAAAGCAGTTCTACAAGATTAAATAAAACTGATAATATACAGTGTTAGTGAGGATGTGGGGAAATCAACACTCTCACATGAAGCTACTGGAAAAAATAAATTGGTAGAGACTTTCTGGATAGCAGCTATTTATCTATATTCAAATGTACAGGGGTACTTCAAAAAGTTCATAGGAATATTCATATTATCTTTTAATTCTATTTTTCCATGAACTTTTTGAAATGCCCTCATATATCCAGTATATACCCCAAACCTTAGAAACATACCTATCGTTTGAGCCAGCAATTCTACTTCTAGAATTTGTTCTAAGGAAATAATTAAGAACGTGCACAAAGATCTAGCTACATTGATGGTCATTACAGCATCACTTATAAGAATAAAAACTTGGACGTACTTGAAATGTGCACATATAGGTCATTGCTATGGTGAAATACCATGCAGCCATTAACAATTGTGATGAAAGATGGTGGGGCAAATGTACATGATGTATGATGAGAACCGTGACGGACACACATATCTGCTTTTACTTCTACCCTCAGGTCCAGGATGGCCGATGGCATCAGACGCTCTTCACCTTCCGGACCCAGGACCCCCAGCAGCTGCCTATCATCAGCGTGGACAACCTCCCTCCTGCCTCATCAGGGAAGCAATACCGCCTCGAAGTTGGACCTGCATGCTTCCTCTGACCTCTGGCCTCCTGGCTCCTCTAGGCCTCTTGGGGAAGGGAAGAGGAGGAGGCGAGGGGAGGGTACCGAGGGGCAGGTGGCTCTGCCTAGGGATCCTTAGGCAGGCCCCAGCTGTTGTCTGCCCAGTACAAGTGGGTGGGGGGTAGCAAGGGATTGGGTGTCCTTGGGAGTGACTGATCCCAGCTCAGCCCCAAAGACCAAAGGGGCAGGTGGCTCTGCCTAGGGATCCTTAGGCAGGCCCCAGCTGTTGTCTGCCCAGTACAAGTGGGTGGGGGTAGCAAGGGATTGGGTGTCCTTGGGAGTGACTGATCCCAGCTCAGCCCCAAAGACCAACCAAAGAGCCAGCCAGAGAAAGCTGGGCCTGCAACCTGCCTGAGCCCCGTGGCCTGTCTCCCAGCTCTGCGCCACCCCCTTCCCTCCCCAGCTTCCTGCCCAAAGAGCCCCATGTTCAAGCCAACTTGAGGGAAGGGGGTATCTCGTCAGCTGGTCCCTGCCAGGGAGCCTTTGATGTGCAATATTAGAAAGGAGACATGAAAAAAGGTGAAAAGGAAAGAAGCATATATATTATTTAAACAAGCAAAAAGAAGGTGTGTTACTATTTTTTCACCTGGAAAGAGGTGAGAGGGTGAGAAAGAGCAGCCAGGGGTGGGAAGAGGCGAGACCCTGGGGTGGGTGCCCATATTTGCTACCTCCCACTGTGAAATCGCTGGTGCTCGCATCCGTCTCTCGTAGAGTATGTGATTTTTTTTAAGAAAAAAAAAAAAACCTATTTAAGATTCTAAAGGTGCTACCATTTTTGCCACAGACTTGGAAGAAACTTCTCGATGTGGAGCATTGGCCACATCTTTCTCTCTCCTCCAAGTGACAAAGTTTGGGGAATTTTTGAATTTTCCTAGCATCACTCTGGTGCTCGTCAGGTAATCTGCTAAGGAGGAAAAAAGAAAAAAAATAAATAAATAAAAACAACAACAACAAAAAAGCAAAGAATAAAACAAAGAAAAAAAACTACCGGAAACCAGAAGTAGAGAGATTTACCTTTTAACTTAAGGACTTTGAAATGTCTATTATTTTCAGGCAGTGAAGAGGCCTGGGCATGAAGCATTTTGACTTGGGCTTTTGTGGTCCTGGAGGGAGGTTAGGGCTACCCTTGGAGGGCCTGACCTGGAGAGGTCCTGGGAGAAGCCTTGACCTTGAAGAAACCAATTGCAAGAGGAGTGTTGGGTCAGGGCTGGCCTTGAAGGTGGACTATACATATTAAACCATCTCACCAAGCCATATAACTTCCTTTCAGGAGCCGAACCTTCCAGATGCCATCATGGTTCTTGCTTTTTCATTGTCCTTAAATTCGATAGAAACCCACTGTCATGGCTCCAAGTGTACATTTGGGCTGAGGAGAAGGAATAATTATGGGAATCTCGGAGTTCAGCACGATAATCTGAATTGTACTATATCGTTCAGTGCCTGAATTGGATTTCGAGGTTATTTTAACTAAGGAATTATTTTTATAGAAGGGGAAAAATTTATGTGAACGTCTCTGTTTGTGTATTTCTCGTCTCAAGTTGTGTCTCTTGGGGAATTGGATCTGACTTTCATTATTTAATACCTCACTCTGGCCCACCCTCCCACCCCAGACTCTTCCTGTGTCCCCCGCCCTGCGTCCCCAGCCTGGACACTGCGCACCGAAGTGCATTTGTGTAGCGTCTCGGGCCTCATCTCAGCAATCAGTTTCCCCACGCCGCCAGTCCCCACCCGGCCTCTGTCTCATTCTCGGGTTTTTCTGCTGTCCTCGTTTACGTCTCTGTCCACGTGTCAGTGTGTTAAAACCCCAATGGGTTCTGTTTCTCTTTTTCCCATCTGGATTTTAAATAAATATTTAAAACTGAGGCAACAGAATGAGGTGTCTGTGGCTGTGTGCTTCTTCTCAAAGCTCGGAGGGCATTTCTGGCAGGGCGGGGGTGGGCGTGGAGATGCTCAGAGGATGCCTTCCTTATGCTGTAACAAATACCGCAAACGTGGTGGCTTAAAACAACAGAAACGTTTTCCCTTACAGTTCTGGAGTTCCAGAAGTTGGAAACTAAAGTGTTGGCAGGGCTGTGCTCCCTCCAAAGCCTCCAGGGAAGGGTCTTTTTGTGCCTCCTTTAGCTTCCAGTAGCCCCAGATGTTCTTTTGCTTGCAGCTGCAGCACTCCCATCTCTCCCTCCCTGGTCACCTGGCCTTCTCCCAGTTGTGTGTCTCTGTATTCACATCTTTTTATGAGGACACTTGTCATATTGGATTAGGGCCCACTAAAGACCCGATCTTAACTTGATCACATCTGCAAAGACCCTATCTCCAAATAAGATCACATTCACAGGTACCGGGAGCTAGGACTTCAGCATATCTTTTGGGGGGACATAATTCAACCCATAATACATTGGGAGGAGGTGTATTGAGGTTAACATAAGCAATTCTTTGTTATTATTATTATTGTGGTAAAATACACATAACATAAAAATTACTATTAATGACATTTAGAGCATTCACAATGGTGTGCAACCATCACTGCTATCTAGTTCCAGAATATTTCCATCACCCTAAAAGGAAACCCAACACTTATTTAGAGGTCACTTCCCATTTCCCCCCTACTCCATTCCCTGGAAAACCACCAATCTGCTCTTTGTCTCCGGCTTTGCTATTCTGGATATTTAATGTAAATAGAATCATACAATATGTGGCTTTTTTGTGACTGGCTTCTTTCATTTTGCATAATATTTTCAAGATTCATCCATGACGTAGCATGTATCAGTACTTCATTCCTTTTTATGGGTGATTAATATTCCATTGCATGGATAGACCACATTTGTTTACCTGTTTATCAGTTGATGGACATTTGGGCTGTTTCCACCTTTTGATTATCCTGGGTAATGCTTCAAAATGAATAATTCTTGCCTGTGAGAGTCCTGAGAGAAGTCACAGTAGCACCTGCCTCGGAAGAAATGTGTAAATGAGAATCTAGGGGATAGGGTTGCTAGATTAGCAAATAAAAATATACGAAGCCCTGATAAATTTGAATTTCAGATAAATGATAAGTACCTTTAAAATAGAAATATGTTCCATGCAGTATATGAGATATCCTTAAAAAGTTATTTGTTGTTTATCTAAAATTTAAATTTATCTGGGTGTCCTGGGCCCAGAACCCACATCTCCTGACTCTTGGTTCAGATCTCTTTTTTCCTTAGCTTGTTCCTCCTTCCCTGAGATTTTGGATGAATCAGAACTTTTCCGCTTTTCTCATCTAAGAGAAAAAACAAATCAACAACAGTTGAGTTCATACCTGGGACTTTATGTTTTGAAATTTTGCACTGAGTCTCCAGGTTATCAGTCCACATACACGTCAGTCTCCTCTACCCTCCCCATCCTAGACAATGAGCACCAGAGCTGCCCTGCCGTGGCCCCCAGAGCCTCGTGGCAGAGCCCAGGATGCATGGTCAGGAAGGACAGGGTGATTCCCACGTCCCGGGCACACTGTCCCATTTCATATGGAGGGCACCTGCATGGAGGGCAACTGAAGCCCGAGGAGGGGCCTGAGGGGCTAAAGTCCCAAGCCCCACTGTGCTGCACTATTTCCCAAGGCTAGAAAATGGTTTCCCAACGTTATGGAGGGCACCTGAAGCCCGAGGAGGGGCCTGAGGGGTTAAAGTCCCAAGCCCCACTGTGCTGCACTATTTCCCAAGGCTAGAAAATGGTTTCCCAACGTTGAGGGAAAAAACTTGAGAATGGGAGATAAGAATGTTCTTTTTATTTATTTGCCTGACAATCAGAAATGAAATTGAGCCAGAATGGCCCATTTTCTGAACCATTTCCTGAAGTCTGCTGCATATTTTCACCCCCAAAGAGCTTGCCCAGTATTTGAGTGAGTATGCTTCCCATTCTGCAGATGGGAAATGTAGGTCATGTCAAGGTCTGTTTTCCCCGTAGAAAGTTCTGTGAAGGCAGGGCACACACGTATCTTGTTCTTTGCTGCAGCCACAGAGCATAGCATATCAAGGGCACTCAAACTTGCCAAATGATTGCTCACAGAAACTCTCACCTGCATTTCCTCCACATGAATTTATTGAGCATCTTCTCTGTGCCAAGTGTGTATGGGCACCGTAGTTACAGAGACAGATCTGACAGCATGTCTGAGTGGCTCTGAATCCAGTGGGTGCAGTTGGAGGGATTGGGCCTTGTGTGGTTAGGGTTTGAAGAACTGGAGGCCAGGTCTGTGGGGGGAGGGGGGACAAAATAGGGGCATAGTTAAGGCAATCTCAGCAGGGGGAGGATAGTTGGGAGATGGCCCTCTGTATTAGGGTTCTCCAGAGAAACAGAACCAATAGGGTATGGAAAGGAATCTATTATAAAGAATTGACTCATGCAGTTATGGAAGCTGACAAGTCCAAGATCTGCAGTCAGCAAGCTGGAGACCTAGGAGAGCCAGTGGTGTAGTTCCAGTGCAAAGGTTGGTAGGCTTAAGACTCAGGAAGAGCCGTGAATGTTTCAGCTCAAGTCCAAAGACAAAGAAAATCCGTGTCCCAGCTTGAAGTCAGTCAAGCAGAAGGAACTCTCTTTTACTAGCCTTTTTGTTCTATCCAGGCCTTCAGCTGATTGGACAAGGCCCACCCACACCAGGGAGGGCAATCTACTTTACTTAGTCTCCTCATTCAAATGTTCATCTCATCCAGAAACACCGTCACAGACACACTCAGAGTAATGCTTGGCTAAATATCTGGCTACCCCATGTCCCAATCAAGTTGATATGTGAAATTAACCATCATACCTGATGGAGTTTGGATGTGTTGTCCCCTCAGAAACTCATGTAGAAATTTGATCCCCAATGTGGCAGTGCTGGAAGCTGATTGAGTTGTGGGGGCGAATCCCTCCTGAATGGATTCATGCTCTCCCTGGGGGAGGGAGGATTAATAAGCGAGTTCTCACTCCATTAGTTCCCACGAGAGCTTGTTGTTTAATAGACCCTGACACCTCCTCTCTCTCTTTCTTGCTTCCTCTCACCATGTGATCTGCTTGTACCCGCTGGCTGCCTGCCACTTTCCTCCATGAGTAGAAGCAGCCTGAGGCCCGTGCCAGATGCAACTGTCCTAGAATCGTAAGCCTAATAAACCTCTGTTCTTTATAAATCACCCAGTCTCAGGTATTCTGTTATAGCAACACAAAACAGACTAATACAGAAAATTGGTACCAGGAGTGGGTGTTGCTATACAGATACTTGAAAATGTGGATGCAGCTTTGGAACTGAGTAATGGGCAAAGGTTGGAGGAGTTTGGAGGACTTAGAAGAAGAGAAAAAGATGAGGGAAAGTTTGGAATGTCTTAGAGACTTATGTGGTAGTAAGAAGAATGCTGATAGAAACGTGAGCAGTAAAGGCCATGCGGATGATGAGGTCTCAGATAGAAACGAGGAGCTCATCAGGAATTGGACAAAAGCTCACCCTTGCTACACCATAGCAAGGAATTTGGCATCATTGTGTCCATGCCCTTGGACTTTGTGGAAGGTGGGACTTAAGAGTTGTGAACCAGAGTATCTGGTGGAAGAAATTTCCAAGCAGCAAAGCATTAAGGACACTGCATGGTTGCCTTTAAGAGCCTACTCTGGGTTATGGCAGCAAAATCATGATGTAAAGCCAAAATTTAAAAGGGAATCAGAGCATAAAGATTTGGAAAATTTGCAGCCTGGCCATGTGGTAAAGAAGCGGAGGGCAGGAGAAGAACATGAGGGTGAAGCAGATAAACTGGTTGCTAAAGACATTATCTTGGCAGTGAGGCAGCCAGATGCTAATAGTGGAGAAAATGAGAGTAAAGCCCTACAGGCATTTCAGAAGTCTGGAAGGGTGCCCCACCCATCACAGACCCTGAGGCCTAGAAGGACTGAGTTATCCTGGAGGAGAGACCTGGATGCAGTGGCCCTTGGGAACCTGCTCCCTGCATCCCAGCTGCTCTGGATGGAGTGGCTCCAAGTGTGGTTTGTGCAGCAGCCCTGGAGAGTAGATGCCTGAAACCTTGGTGGTGTTCATGTCATGTTAAGTCTGTAGGCCGGCCGGACGTGAGAGCAGTGGAGGAGTGGCAGCCTCCACCCAGATTCCAGAGGATGTATGGAAAAGCCTGGGAGCCCAGGCAGAGACCTGCTGCAGGGGTGGAGCCACTGCAGAGGACATCTACTAGAGCAATGCCAAATAGGAAAGTGGGGTCGGAGCCCCCACAGAGAACCCCCACCAGGGAAATTGTTACAATAGGTCAGGCTCGGCCTGCCCTCTCGCCTTAAACAAATGACCTGAAAGTCCAAAAGTTGTTGCAAGGATTGGAAGGTTTATTCAGATTACCTTTACTCAACTAAATGTCTAACCAAGCAAACAAACAAAGAGAAAAGAGGAGCAGTGGGGTGCAGTTTAGCCTAGTCCCAATTGGTGTGGCCAACCTATTCCATTAACGGTAATTGATAAAAGCAGTTCTCCCCACTGTTTTCAGCATAAAGAAAAGTATTGACTAGATTTAAATCAGAAAAACAAAGTACAGGGCCGGCCCGGTGGCGCACTGGAGAGTGTGCCGCTTGGGAGCGTGGCGGCGCTCCCACTGGGGGTTCGGATCCCATGTGGAGTCCGGTTCCCACTCATTGGCTGAGCGCGGTGCGGGCGCAACACCGAGGGTTGTGATCCCGTTACCGGTCAGTAAAAAAGACAAAAAGGAAAAAAAAAAAAATAAATAGAAAAACAAAGTACAGCCAGGAGCCCTCCAGGGTGCACCTACATAGTAGTGGATACAATCCAACCAAACAGCGGAAGAAGGCTCAGAAAACCAGAGAAAGGTAAAGAGAATAAAGCATTGCCTTGTCAGAATTTAGGCCAGGGACTCCAGGAGAGATCT